ATTTGAATAATTATAATCCCAGTAGATTACTAAAGGAAATGTAACTACTCTATTCTCACTGTTTTGTGTTCATCATGTAATTTTCTTACCTTTTCATTTCTGCAGTGAATGTAATCCATAGGCTGTAAGCTAATGATTTTTCACTTTTAGTGTTCATCAAAATAATTGTGGTATTTATTAGAAGTACAGATGCTTGCACCCCACCGTAAACCCACTGAATCAGAATTCGTAGATGTGAGGTTGTGCTATCAACCAACTCCCAGGTGATTTTTGAGAACCACAGTCCTAAGCAATAACTAGTGCCTGTTCTTGAGCCAGTGTATCTACCATTACAAATAAAAATTTACAATATTGATTTATAGGTAAATCTCTTGCCAGTTTGATTTCATTATGGCTCCTAAGTGAATGGCTAAATTCGTTTTCTGATTTCATAAGGTTGAGTGAACCAGACAATCCATCAAAGTTTTCAACATTTAATACCACCCCAAATGTAAAGTTTATTATCATTACTATTTTACCTAAGATAAAATATATTAAGTGGCTTCAGTTACTTGTCAGTTTTAAGAAAGAAATCATCCAGATTTCACTATCTCTTTTGGGAGTATTCTGTAAATATTTATGTTCTGTTCAATGAAGTACAGATTCTGTGAACAATCTTGTTTTATTTTTTTTGGTAATATTTATCTACTGTATCAGAAAAAAAAAAGGAAAATATCAGAGAAAAACAGTTTTTTGTTATTTTCCACCCAATCAATGAATTAGCTATTTTCATTGTTATTAATATAAATTTTCACTTAGTGTGCACCTGGGCAATCTGTTTTTTAACCACCTCTGAAGAAGTGCAGAAAAAACTGTATGAAGAGATAGACCAAGTTTTGGGGAAGGGTCCTGTTACTCCAGAGAAGATTGAGGAACTCAGGTAAGAACACACTAAAAGGAAGAGGAAATCATTAAAAAGTCAATTTGAATTGGTTTCACTATTTATTTTAAAGCTAATGCTATATTTAGGAAAGCTATATCTCTTTATGGGACTTACAATATTTACATATAGATTTTTAATAATTTAATTTACTTTTAAAACCTTATGTAGTTCTGGGAAAGCTTTACATTAGCCTGTATAAAATAGTATCAGTGATGTCAGGTAAGTGGAACATTCATGCCTCGATGGGAATGGAAGATGGTACAGTCCTATAGGAAAACAGTGTGGTAAGATCTTGTAAAGTTAAATGTACACTTCCCATATGACCCAGTGATTCTACTTCTAGGCATTCACCCAAGAAAAATGAAAATGAATGTCTACACAGAGACCTATATACAAACGTTCATAGCAGTATTATTTATAATAGCAAAAAACTGGAAGCAGTCCAAATGTTCATCAATTGGTGAATAAATAAATTATACCATGGAATATTACCAAGTAATAAAAAGTTAACACACTGTAAATAGACACAACATGGATAAATCTCATTATGCTAAGTGAAAAAGTCAAACACCAAGATTACCTACAATGTGACTTCATTTAGGTGAAATTCTAGAAAAGACAAAACTATCGTAATAGGAAGCAGATCGGTGCTTGTCTGGAGTGCCACTGGAGCCTGTGCCACTGGAGCCTGTGACTGAACACTGTCATCAGTTTAGGTGCTTTAAAAATAGAGATAGCCGGGGACCAAAACCAAATCTAATGTATAGCCAAAGTTGAGAATCACTGTGCTAGTGATTTTTATATATCTGGGGAGTCACATGTGATCATATGACTTCCCAATTTAAAATCCTTCAGTGACTTCTGGTTGCCCTTAAAATTTAAACTCACTAACGTAGCCTGTGAAACATTTCAAAAGCTAAGCCTTGCATTCCTCTCTCACCTTATCTTTTATCACTTCTCGTCTCTTCATACCCTTGTTTCTTCAAAGGTCCAGCACTCTATCTTCTGACTTGTGCAGACTACTTCTTTGTCTAAGTTCTCTCTTCCTGTCCCCTCTAGCTAACTCCTTTTTTGTCTGCAGGTCTCAGCCTAGCGTTTAGTTCTCTGCATAGTCCTTTCTCTAGTTAAGTGCTACTGCCATGTGTTCCCTACCACCTTGAACTTTCTTTGTCATAACAGCTACTGCGCTTTTTAACTGTTCATTCTTGAGGTCCCTTCTTTTCTCAAAGAAACTAGACTTTGAGTTCCTGTGAGGGCATCTGTCTTGTTCAGTGTCGTAGCTGAATATCTAACACAGTGCTTCTAATGTAGTAGGTACCCGATAAATATTTGTTCAAAGAGAAATAGAATGATGTTTCCTCCTTTGTTTTTGTTGTTTTTAGATATTATAAACAGTCAACATTCCTATGCTTACATCTTTGTTAATATTTCCATTTGTTTCTATTAAGATTCTGGAAATGAGATTATTTAACGCTATATGCAAAAGTATAATATTTATTAGTATGTCTTACTTATTATGAAATTAGACAGATCTGGATTTCAATCTTGTCAACACCACTTACCTGCTTTGTGTTCTTAAACGATTGCCTCATTTTTTAATTCTGTAGAATTAAAATAATTATAGGGTCCATAATTTTCTTGTAAGGATTACGAGATACTACATAGAAACTATTTAACAGAACTAGTTCGTGGCAAGATTTCAGCATATTTTAGTTTTATTCTTCTCATTGTGATGGACACTTAATATTCTAATACTATATATGTTGCCAAGTTACCCTTCAATAAGGTGATACCAATTAATACTTCAAATTGAAGATGATTATATTTTTCCCCATTTTTTTTATTGTTTATTGTCATTCTTTTTCATCTTTGCTAATCTGGCAAGTAAAAAAATGCTTTGGCAATTTTTTCATTGTTAATAAGAATTATTTAATATGTTTTCAAGCCATTTGTATTTATATTAATTGCTTTTTTATATTTTCTGTCCATATTTCTGTTGAGGTATTTGATTATTTTAATTATGGATTTTTTAAAGAGATTTTATACATTAAAGATATTGACTAAATATTTTTCCTAATTATCTTTTAATTTTACTTATGATTGAAAATACGTAAAAAAACCTACATAGATTATTTGTATTTTTCTTTATGGTTTCTGTCATTGTGTCAGTATTTTTATAATTTTTAGTAGAAAAGTCTTTTATTAAAATGTTCATCAAATCCTTTATTAAAAATAAAGGACTTTTCTACGCAAAAATCCTAAAACTATTGTTTTGCGTTTTCTTCTGGTACTTTTAAAGGTATTTTTATTTGTTTAAATCTTTACCCCCCCTGGACTTTATATACTTCTAATATATAACATATTTTCAAGCAAAAAACAATTATCATGTGACTATTTAAACTAGGAAGGTTATGAAAGCTGTTGAATGACATTTTGAAATGTATGTACGTTTTAAACTGCCTCTCCCAAAGTAAAGATCTTCAAAAAAAATTTTTTTTAAACAGATATTGTCGGCAGGTGCTTTGCGAAACTGTTCGGATTGCCAAACTGACCCCAGTTTCTGCCCGGCTTCAAGATATTGAAGGAAAGATTGACAAATTTATTATTCCTAGAGAGGTAGGAAACATTTAGTATACTTAAGTCATTCAGTTTTTCTTTTCAACTTTTAGTCTATATTTTAAAACTTTATTGTTTAAAGTGTTCAATAAATGCTACCCATTGTTAAAGACGATCATTTTTAAGTGACAAAATAATATATGGTTGTTTTAAAGTTCAAACAATATAAAAGAAAAGTCCCTTCCCCATAGGTACTGCTGTTAATAGTTTAGAGTGTATTTTTATAGATCTTTTTTTGTGTATATATATATTACTCTCTGTATTTTAAAAACTGAATTTACATGTGAAAGTTTACTCTTTATATATTGTTCTTTAATTTTCTTCTTTTAGTAGAAAAGTGCTAGTACAACTGGAACTTGATACAACTACAACTCATTATTTTTAATAGATGCATGGTATTCCATGTACCATAATTTATTTAAGCAGCCTCCATAGATGGAAATTTAGTGGACTTTTTTTTTTTTTAATACAAATTATATGCTTTTAGAGGTATTGGGTAGGGCCTTAGAAATGGAGTTTTGGGGTCAAAGTATATATGCATGTTAAATTTAAATTACTGTCTAAGTGGCAATTTATATTTTTAGCAACAATGTATGAGAATGCTTTTTGTCTCCATATCCTTACCACTTGTGGGTTTATGAATCTTCTACATATTTTATGAATCTTATATGAAAAATTATCTTGTTAAATTTTAATGTCCCTTACCCTAATCATTGGTGAGATTGAGTAGCTGATCATTAACAGTTTGTATTTCTTCTTTTGTGAATTATATGCTAAAACTCACTCTTCTTTCTCCTGAGCCTGTATGTCTTTTGTATATTATTCATACCGTCAGTTCTATGGCAAATATTTTTTCCTTTTATTATTTATCTTTTACTGGTGCTTATGGTATGTTTTGTTTTTACTGGATGCAGTTTTTAAATTTTCATATAGTTACTTTAGGGTTCCAGATTTTGTGACATGCTTAGTTTTGCCTTCTGCACTACAAGATCACCAGAAAAATGGCTTGTGTTTTCTTCTATTATTTTATAGTTTTAATTTATATTCATTATCTATGTTAAAAGAACATTTAGGACGAGTTGACTTTCGGGAGTCATTCTGTCTCTGCTAGGCCTTGACTAACCAGAGTAATTTTTTTTCACAGACTCTTGTCCTTTATGCCCTTGGTGTGGTGCTTCAGGATCCAAGTACTTGGCCATCACCATACAAGTATGAAATATCTGTCATTGTCATTATGATTATTGATTTTTATGTATTTGCATGTTGTGTATTCCTTTTTTAAGTTTTGAGGAGAAAATTCCATATGTGACAATGATACAACAAAAGAAAGCCACTGACTTCCCTTTATATCTTGTGCTCACTACTTTTTCTTTCATGAATCTGCTGGCTGCTACTTTTTGTCTCTCCCTTTACCACTTTATCCTAAGATCTATTTAATCACCTAAATTCTACAATGGAATTTTGGAATTCTTTTCTTTTTTTTGGTTAAGTGGGTACTGTTTATGCAGATTTTTTTTTCTGCTCTTGGTCTCAATTATTAAACTCTTTAGTCAAATTCAGAAAATAGGTTTTGCCTCTATGTGTTTTGTGTGAGAATGGCAAGGGAAAGAAAAGTTGAAGACAGAGCTGCTTTTGTTTGCTTCTTAGATAGGCATCTCGTACAATCTGCTTTAAAGAAAAGGGTTAAATTTATTGCCCTGGAAGAAGGTTGTATATTGAGTTGATTGTGGGTAAAACAGCAGTGTGAAAGGCAGTGGGACAGGGTTGATGCATGGGTAAAGTACTAGGAAACCTACTTCTGGGGAATAACAATGGGGCGTATTAAGTGTATCTATCATTTTAGTTTTGACTATTATAATGATATTAAAGGAAATCTATTAATGAAATAGCAATCCTTCAAAATATGCTGTAAGTAAAAATTAGGTAAATTTTATATTCCAAGTGATTTTTATAGCAAAATTAAAGATGTACATAGGTGGGAAATATATGCTCATAATTTGAAAAACAAACTTTGAAATTTTAAAATTTTTAAAAAAATTTGCATATGGAAAAAGGCCACATTTTTAATAAATTATAATGAAAAATATAAACTTTGTTGGCACTTTGGACAGTATTTCCATTCTTAAAACACTCAGAGCATCTAGGTTACAAGTTAAAAATACTGAAAGGTAGCTATGCCAAAATATGGAAATCATTTTTAGGGCTCAAATGTAATCAAATTTAGGAAATGTTAGTAATAATGTTATATGCAAAGGGAAAGCTTTTCGAAGTTGGAGACTTCCTTCCCCGTCCCTTGTGGAAGGTTCAGAGATACATCTTGTCAGCACCTTGAGATGATCCCTGAGAGACAATTCGTACTAACAAAAATGTACAGAGGACTGAGATATTGAGTGGAGACAGTTGACTAATTACATTTAAATATAATTGTCACACAGAGGAGGAAGAAGAGATTGACTTTTTTCACTGAACTTGATGCTCTTGAGGTCAGTGTGGGATGTTGCATATCTTTTTATGGCTGAGTAGTATCTGTTGTGTGGATGTACCAGATTTTGTTCAGCCTTTCACCCACTAAAGGACATTTGGGTTGTTTCTAGTATTTTGCTATTATGAATGGAGCTGCTATGAGTATTCGTATACAGGTTTTTGTGTGAACGTAGGGTTTCATTTCTTTTGGATAAATGCCCAAGAATACAATTGCTGGGTTATATGGTTAGTGCATGTTTAGTTTTGCTAAAAACTGCTAGCCTTTTTTTCAGAGATTCTCACCAGTTGTGTTTGAGAGGTTCAGTTTCTCAACAACCTCAATAGCATTAACTATTATCACTATTTTAAAAAAATTTTAGTCTAATACATATGTGGTGCTATTTTATTGCGGTTTTTATGTTTTCTTTTTGAATGAGTAACTGACATTAATGTAGTCTTCCTATATAAAAATGTCTAGATATGATTAATCTATAAAAAAATGCATATAAGTGCATTATTACTGTTAGAATATGGCAGTGTTTTAGAGCAAGAAACCCTGGGTCAATTTGGTCAATTTCTATGACTTAAATGGGTAATAATGTAAATGATACTCTATACCAAATGATGAAATATTGTCAACTTGTACAAACCAAACTAAAATAAAATTCTCAACAGAAAAGAATGAAGGCAAACATCAGAAATCTCGGTATGGACCAAGAGCAAGATGGTGACATAGTAGGCTCCTGAATTTCCCTCTTCCTACAGACACACTGAACATATATCTATACATGAGCAATTTTCTCTTAGAGAAATTTAGAAACTAGCTGAGAAAATACCCACATTGAAAGTAGTAGGAAAGGCTGAGACACTCTTGCCATGAATCCTATCCCTAGCACAGTGCCATATATTCAGGAGGGAACCTGATTCTAGCATTTCCTTGAGAATTAAAGGGTTTTGGACCATACCTTTAATGTCCCAACTTTGAAGACTCTCACTTGAGGAATAGGCTCCCAAAACACCTCGCTTTGAAAGCTATCGGGGCTCGTGTTCATGAGTCCCACAGGACTTCAGCAAATGATGAATCAGTTCCTAAAGGGAGCATGATGGGAGCACAAGCACTCACAGTGGCTATCCCCTAGGGCTCAGCACAGAGGGAGAAGACAAAAATGCTCATCTCCATTTTTTCCTGGAAGGAAGTTGACTGCTTACCTTACAAGCTGCTGCCTGAGGGTCTATCTTCTAATTAGCATGCATCTAGGTACTGACTGTGATCATCGCCAGAGCCTTATGGAGCCAGTGGGCTCCTTCCTTTGGCCCCTTCCAACAATAAAACCAGGTTTCCAGCATCTCCTCTGTGCACACATCTGGTGCCCCAACTCTTACAGCTTCCATATGAGGAACATGCCCAAATGAGCTAGCTCATATAGCCAGTGGGTCTTAATGTTCATAATTCCTATAGGACTATAGCAAACAAAGAAGCAGTTGTTAACAGGCATGCAGATATTTGCTGTGTCTGACTCCCAAGGTTCAGTGCAGAGGGAACAGACAAAAAATGGCCATCTCCTAGTCTTTCTTTGGAAGGGGTTTGACTGCATACTTCACAAGTAGCTGGCTCAGGGTCTGACCTTTAATTACCACACATCTAGGTGCTGACTCTGATCTTCCCCTGAGCTCAGAATACCTAGTGGGCACTTCCACTGCCTTCTCTCTCCACTTGCTCCAACAATAAAGCCAGCTCGCCACTATTTCCCATGAAGGAGCTTGTCTGCATATCTAGCAGTTCAACTTTTATGGCTGCTGCTTGAGGGATAGGCCTTCATCACCTAGCTATGATAGCCAGCAGGACTTAATTCACAAGTCCCACAAGATTATAACAAACCATTTTTAAATGGATACAGGAGCACCCGCTGTGGGTAAACACCTGGGCTCCATGCAGAGGGAACAGACAGAAATGGCCATCTCCCAGTTTCTCCTTGGAAAGGGTTTTGACTACATCTTCTAATCAGGCTGCATCTGGGTGCTGACTGTGTTCCTGTCCTTTTGGATGTAGACAGGACTTGGCATACTCTCACCTCCTAGGAGCCACTACAAATGAAGATGACAGCTTGAGTAATTACAAAAGTTAGAGACAACCAGGAACTCAGGCTGGGCTAACTAACGAGGTTTATCTCCTACACAAGACTGCTGTCAAGGCTGGAAGAAGTGGCTGTTTTATCTAATGTGAGGAAACCAACACAGAGAGTCATAGAAAATAAGGGAATATGTTCCAAAGAACAAAGAAAAATCTTACTTTGCTTTTTGATGTAAGTGATTTACACAATAGAGAATTCAGTATAACAGCCATAATCATGGTCACAGAGGTCAGGAGAACAATGCATGAACAAAGTGAGAATTTTAAAAAGAGATAGAAAATACTTAAAAAGTACCAAACAAATCAAATATACACATCATAGGTGTCCGAGAAGGAGAAGAAAGAGAAAAAGGAGCAGAGAAAGCTTATTCAAAGAAATAATGGCTGAAAACTTCCCTTCTGGATCTAGGAAGCCTAAAGAGTACTAAAAATAAATCTAAAGGGACTCACACCAAGACACATTATAATTAAATTGTCAAAAGTTAAAGACAGATAAAATCTTAAAAGTAGCAGGAGAAAGACAACATGTTATTTACAACCCCCCCTCCATAAGACTGTGGGGGAACAGAAAGAATTTCACTGAAAAAACAGCTGTGTATATAATGTCTGTTTCCAGAAGATTGTATTTAATGTTTTTATAATAGTTAAATTTGTTCACAGTCGTTTGTTATAATTAAACTTGATAACTTATTTGCAGAGAGCTGTATGGCTTATAATGAAGTCTTAAATATCTTGTTGATGTCCTGATAAACCTTATTTTGTTAGACAATGTGTAAATAGATAAATTGCTAATATTGGGAATGTGTCGTTTGTAAACCTAACTTAAAATGCTATATTCTCTTTTGATTAAATGTTTCAAAATCCCAGAAAAAAAAAACGATTATTTTATTGGGGAAAAAAAGATCCAGTATGAAACAGGAAATCAATTACAAAAAGAAAACTGGAAAATTCACAGATAGTTGGAGATAAAACAACATGTCACCAAACAAACAATGGGTCAAAGAATAAATTCAAAAAAATTTGAAAATATCTTAGGACAAATGAAAACACATCAAAACTTATGTGATGTAGCAAAAGCAGTTCTAAGAGAAGTTTATGGCAATAAAAACCTACATGAAGAGGAAAGGAAGATCTCAAATAAACATCTTAACTTTTTACCTCAAAGAAGTAGAAGAACAACAAAGCCTAAAATTAGTAAAAGGAAGAAAATAAATCTCAGAGTGGAAATAAATGAAATAGAGACTGGAAACATAATAGAAAATATCAATGAAAGTAAGAGCTGGTTTTTTGAAAAGACAAAATTGACAGAACTTTAGCTAGACTAAGAAAAAGTGAAAGCTTAAATAAATAAAACTATAAATGAAAAGAGACATTACAACTGATAACATGAATTCTAATAATCATAAGAGAATACTATGAACAATTTTATGCTAATAAGATAGATAACCTGGGAGAAATAAATTCCTAGAAACATAAAATATACCAAGCATTTGACAAAATTAAATATCCTTTTATGATGAAAACTCTCAAATTAGAGATAGAAGGATTGCGCCTCAACATAATAAAGGCTATGTATAACAAGCCTACCGCTAACATCATACTCTGGTTAAAGGCTGAAAGCTTTTCCTCTAAAATCAGGAGAAAGACAAGGATACCCACTCACTACTTTCATTCAACATAGTATTGGACGTCCTAGCCAGAGCAATTAGGCAAGAAAAAGAAATAAAAGGTATCTAAATCAGAAAGGAAAAATTAAAATTGTCTCTATTTGCAGATGATAAGATATATATTGAAAACCCTAAGGATGCCACCAAAAACTGTTAGAACTAATAAATGAATTCAGTAAAGTTGCATGATACAAAATGAATATCCAGATCTTACTTGACTTACGATGAGACCATGTCCTGATAAACCTGTTGTAATTTGAAAATACCGTAAATTGAAAATGTATTTAATATACTTCACCTACCAAATATCATAGCTTAGCCTAGCCTACCTTAAATGTGCTCAGAACACTTACATTAGCCTATTGTTGGGCAAAATCATTTAACAAAGCCTATTTTATAATAAAGTGTTGGCTATCTCATGGAATTTATGCATATTGCTTTTACATTATCGTGATGTTGAAAAATCCTAAGTCAAACAATTTTACATTGGGGACCATCTGTATGAAAATCAATTGCATTTCTATATATTAACAACAAGTTATCAGAAAGAAAACTTAAGATAACAGTTTCAAATACAATAGCATCAAAAAGAGTAAAATACTTAGGAATATATTCAAATAAGAAGGTGAAAGATCTATGTACTGAATACTGATGGAAGTAATTGAATAAGACTCAAATAAATGGAAAAGTAATCTGTGTTCATGGATTGGAAGAATTAATATTGTTAAAATATTCTTCCTAGCCAAATGATTACAAATTAAGTAAAATCTCTATCAAAAATTCCAGTGTCACTTTTTACAGAAATAGAATTTTTTTAATTCATATAGAACCACAAAAGACCCAAAATAGCCAAAGCAGTCTTGAAAAAGAACAAAGGCAGAGACATCATACCTCCCAATTTCAAACTATATTCCAAAGCTACAGTAATCAAAATAGTATGGTACTGACATAAAAACAGAAGTAGATCAGAGACACATAGAATGCAGAGCCCAAAAATAAACCCATGCATTTGTGATCAGTTAATTTTCAACAAATGAGGCAAGAATATACAGTGATGGAAAGAGCATCATCAATAAATGGTACATGGAAAACTGGATATCCACATTATAAGAGAATGACACTGGACTCCTATCTTACAACAGGCAAATGGAATAAGACTTGAATGTAAAACCTAAAACCTTAAAACCCCTGGAAGAAAACAGAGGGGTAAGATCCTTCACATAGTTCATGGCAGTGATTTTTAGATTTGACACCAAAAGCAAAGGCAACAAAAGTCAGGATAAGCAAGTAGAACTATGGCAAACTAAAAAGCATCTACACGGGAAAGGAAACCATCAACAAAATGAAAAGGCATCCTATGGAATGGGGGAAAATATTTGCCAACCACATATCCGATACAGGGTTAACATCCAAAAAATATAAGGAACTCCTATAACACAATAGCAAAAAATGGGGAAAGGGCCTGAATAGACATTTTTACAAAGAAGACATGCAAATGAAATGGCCAACAGGTACATGAAAAGGTGCTCAACATCACTAATCAGAGAATTGCAAATCAAAACCAAAAGAGAGATCACCTCACAGCTGTTAGGATGGCTATCGTCAAGAAGACAAGACAACAAATACTGTTGGTGTGAATATAAACTGGTACAGCCACTATGAAAAATAGCATGGAGGTTCCTCAAGAAATTAAAAATTGAGCTATCATATGGTCCGGCAGTGACACTTCTGAGTATATGTTCTAAAGAAACAAAATCATCTTGAAGAGATATCTGTACTTCCATGTTCATTGCAGCATTATTCACAAGTATGGAAACAGCCTAAGTAGAATGTTTTTCAGCCTCACAAAAGAAGGAAATCCTGCTATTTTCACACCATGGATAAACCTGGAGGGTATTATGTTAAGTGAAATGAGCTAGACAGAGAAAGATAAATATTGCAAGGTATCACTTATATGTGTAATCTAAAATAGAAAAAAAAAAAGTCAGACATATAGAAACAGAGTAGAATGGTCATGGGGATGGGGAGTTGGGGGGATATAGGGAATACCTGATAAAAGGGTACACACTCATTTTTGAGATGAATAAGGTCTAAGGATCTAATATATAAAATAGTGACTATGGTTGATAATACTATATAGTATAATTGAAATTTGCTGGGAACGTAGAAATTAAGTGTTCTCATAATGCACATGAAATGGTAACTAATGTGATGGATGGGTTAATTAATTTGAGGATGGTAATCCTTTCACAATGTGTACAGATGTCATATTGTACAGTTTAAGTATATTACAATTTTATTTGTCAATTATGCTTCATTGAAGCTGAAAAAAATAAGTAATCATTTTGGTTTTTATTTTATTTTTAATCTTTAAAATTATGAGTTGCTGTTTTTTTTATTTTTAAATTAATTAATTTATTTTAATTAGTATCAAGTATACAGTGCATTGGTTAGACATCTACATAGTTTGTAAAATGATCCCCCCAATTGCTCCCTCCCTCCCTTGACCCTCCACCTAGCCAATGTATAAATGCTAATTACATTCCCTATTCCATGCTCCCCATCCTCGTGACCATCCATCAACTACTAATTTGTACTTCTTTAACCCTTCGCCCCATTCTCCAAGCCCCCCAAATTCTCTTCACCTCTGTCTGTCACCAAATTGTCCCCTATATTTGTGAGTTCGTTTTTGATTAGTTGTTCCTTTTATTCCTTAAATTCCACATATAAGCAAAATCATATAGTGTTTATCTTTCTCTGTCTGACATAAATACCTACTAGGTTCATCGAAGCAATATCTTTTCCCATTCCCTTCCTTTTCATATGTAGGGGTCTTGTTATCTTATCCATTCAGCCACTCTATCTTTTGGTTGGAGCACTTAACT